AACCAAAGGGGCTCATTGGTTGCCAGATGTGAAAAATATTGGCATTCTTTTCAGTTCTCCTACTCCACTACGGAAGCCGTTAAAAGAAAAAGTGCCAAACTGATTGTGTCACCTGCAATCTACAACCTGTGGCATCTTTCTAGACTACAAAATGGCAGCTTTTTTTAAAAAAAACAACAACACCTGTCTCTTCTGTGAGTTTATCAGTATGTTTACGTTGCATGTAAAACAATAATCTGGTGAAGGCTGAAATCCTATGCTCAAAGGACGAAGGCTTCCTTGCTCACAGTCGGACTTCCTCCTGAGTATACCTGCAGAAGGGACAGGTGACTGTCTATGGTGAATATGGACAGCATGTATTATGAGCAACTATAACAATATTTTAGGATCCCAGGGATTTCACCTAAGCTACCATAGCAGGTCCATCTGATGTCCGTTGCCTTGCCTCCTCCCCGCTGCCACTGCTGTGTAGTAGGTAAAAGCTACTGACTCCCGTGGAGAAACGACCACCAATACAGGATGCAGGCAAGCAACAATGCACACTTTGTGTTCACATGGCACTTTCCTTTTTAGTGTGCAGTGTCTGATGGGGAATTTGTGCAGCTGGAAAATCTGCTTTTTTAAAAAAAAAAAAACCTTGCCTGGTGTAGTAGTTTACTATCTGCAGGTTATGAGGGGGGGGGCGGATTACGTGGTTCTTCTTGTTTTGTTTTTTAAATACTTGGGGGAGCATTAAAAAATGACCCCCTTCACCTGGAATCCTCGAAGTGGCACAGTACCAAATTATACTACCCCACACCATGTAAAATTCAGAACAATACTTCATGCCACTTGGAACGTGCTGGGGTTGGCTTTCAGGATGAAGGCAGAAAATATTTTGTGCTCTGAAAGTTAAAATAAAACCGAGATTGGAAAAGAAGAAGAAGTAAGGAAAATATTTTGTGCCGCAACTTTTATCTGGGGACGCTTGTCCGTGTTGGGGTGTGAGGCTGCTCTGCCCTGTAGCCTTCCCTGTTCAGCAACATCTGCCTGCCTTACTTCATGTGTCTAAAACAAAACACATGTGCTGCGTAGACTAGCCCGTGTCTCCAGGGACCAGGGTCTTCGTGACATCCTGCACAAGCTGCATTATTTGTTCCGTTCCCAGTTCTGGGAGGGCAGGCAGCTCCAGTGGGTTAGAGTGGGGTCTGGGAGCCAGGCCTGCTGGGCTTTCTCTCTGCCTCCACTCTGAACTGCTGACTGACCTCGGCAGACTCTGCAAGACGGGGATAATAAGAACTGCTTCTCCCAGTGGGTTGTGTAGTTTTGCTAATGAAGTCTGTGAAGCACTTTGGCGTCCTCTGGAGAGCACAAAGGGAAGCAAAGGGTTAGCCCTGGTTATTTATAGTCTTCACATTTGCATAAGAATTTCTGTATATCTGTGTGCACGTTGTGGTTGTCTGGGCATGCATTCACAGTGTGTGTGCTTTTGCACGGGTTGTGAGTTCTCCATTTTTGGACATACCCATATGTGTACTTCGGGTCTGTGCAATTATGCTTTTGCCTTTGTAAGAGGAAGAAAGAAATAATCAGATTAAAATTTTGAAAAGAACTGCACTATGGAACAGAAACCCACAGTTCTTTACTGTTGTTACTGCAGACAACACCTTCAGGGGAAATATCAGAAATGGGTAGGGGCAGGGCAATTTTTGGTAGGAAGGGGCGTGGGATGGAAATATTAACCTTACACATCATGGTCACAGGGTGGACCAGGGCCCCTGCAGATGCTTCTCAAAAGGGTAGTCAGCTTCTCAAGAAGGTAGCCAGCACCATGCACTTTTTTTAAAAAAAGTGTACCTGATAGCAGGTGTTATTCACAGACAGCACCTAAAATATGGGGTATGTTATGTGAGATCTGTGACTGATTTTGACTTAAAACAGGGGAGGAACTTAACCCTCCCCTTACCATCTCATTGTCCCAATTTAGCTGTCCCCCTTTCCAATGGGGAAAATGTGCACACTTTTCCGTATATTATCATTTGCACATGTAGGCATGTTCATGTTTACATACAGTAGCATTCCACATCTGCACCGTACATTTAAAGCAGTACCATATCACTTGAAGCAAAAATGGCTTCCCCCCAAAGAATCCTGGAAACTGTAGTTTGTTATAGATACTGAGAGTTGTTAGGAGATACCTTTCCCCCCTCACATAGCTACATTTCCCAGAGTTCCCTTTGAAGATGGGTTGGTTCTTAAACAACTCTGGAAATAATGGCTTAAATGCATGGTGTGGATGTGACTTTGAACACATCCCTTAAAACATTAGCAAGTGTTTGTATGTCTGTATGCTTGTATATGTAGTGTACAAGTATGCACATGAGCAGGTGTTGCATATGTACCATGCGCTTACATTTTGCAGGTGTTTTGCACTTGCAAGATGCAATAGCGTTTTCGGCTCGGCACAGATCTCTCCCAGCCAGCGCTTCTGACACAATGAGGGAAGAGGCTATTATGTTTATTAAATTGTATTGAGGCTACATTAAAGCAATTGGCAGCTGGGAACCCTGGTTATTTATGAAATGGGCATCAGGAAACATAGCTCTCCCAGGGCTGGATTTTAGCTGCTGAGAATACGTTGGGAGGGGGGGAAGGGATCAATATTGCCAGGCACAAGCCAATCTGGTTTTAATTTGATATTCACTTACAGAGAACACCGCCTGCTGATTTCTCTTGATACAAAAACAGCAGCTACATGAATTAACCCTCCCTGTCCAGCCCAACACAACACCCTCCCATCCACTGAACACCCACTTATTAGCTCTGTTGGCACTCCTCCTTAGAGCCACCCCCTGCCTCTGTGTGCCATTCTTAAATGCCCTCCGTACTCTGCCATCCCAGCATATAGCCACAATATCAGCAGCCCTTCATTAAATCCCAAAGAATAACAATGCTCTTCTACTGATTCAAAGAAGATGGAGAAGAACCAAGAAGGGGTGACAAATTTATTTTCAGTGGTTATTCTCAGACAAGAACATTTTAATCTTTGTGGGCCCAGCACATGAGCCTGGGGCTAAGGTGGCCAATCTCACATCGCCAAAGGAGAGGAAATGCATTGCCACAATAAAGGGGCAAAAGGAGATGCAGATCTATTTGCACGTCTATATGCACATTCAGAAATCATCATCGTAATGTAAGTAGAATGGCTACACATCACACCATAGTGGAGAATTTTGTGACCATGTGCTCAGTCTATTGTTCCAGTATTGCTAATGGGTTGGTTAGAAAGACTTGTGGTGTTGTGTTTGGCTCATTGGCCTGAGGGTCTACAGCATTGTTGTAAAGCCTTCAGTGGCCCAGGGATGACAAAGAGTGCCTCCTTCCATATAAAGCTTCTCACATATTAAGATACTTGAATATGACCCTGTTCTGGGCACCCTTTCTAGCACGTGATCAATCACATAGGCAGGGCCTTTTTGAAAGTGGCACCATCCCTCTGGAACCAACTTTCTCCACTACAAGGCTCCTGATTATTTTCAGGAAGTGTGTTAATATGGTTTTATTTCACCAGGTTTTTGAAGGATCGCTGCTCCCTCCCTTAAATATAGCTGAATTGTTCTTTGTGATTGCAAAGCCTGGTTTTATCAACTGATTTAATTGTAGGTTTACCAAATTTTAATATATTGTTGTTGTGTTGTGCTTTGGGAACCATTGGCCAAAAGGTGGGGTGAAAACATGTGGAACAAACAAACTGCTTTAATGGGACTTGTAGTAGCATGGATATAAGACCTACATTCACCAGGATGCTCATTTGCATCAGATACGCCTCCCCTCTGTTTTCTCTTCTATATCAGCACCACAGTCAAGTGTAATATAAGTAGGTGCAGAAAAGCTCAAAGGCAATTTAAAACCTGATGTATGAAAATGCTCCTAGCCCATACTACCTTCCGGGCTCATATTTGCCAGCAATTATAAAAGGGGGAAAATCAGACTACCATCAGAAAACAAAGGCGCACTTTGTGTTAAATGCATACTAATATTGTAATCATAAAACACTTTATTAGTAAACATTGTCATTGGTGCCACGAATGAAGAGCTGCTCCACCAAACAAAGGCAATTTGCTTGGATTTTCTGGGAGATTGGACCTTGAGCCTTGCCTAATGGGAAAACCCCAGGGATGATGTGCACATCATCCCTGTTCCTGGGAGGCATTGAGAGCAGAGAGGAGCAGAATACCTGGTGAATTGACAGTCCCAGCTGGAGTGAGCTGCTATGGGGGGTTAGAATAGGAGCGCCAGGGCAGAGGAGGAAAGGAACCGGGGGTCCTGCAGCTGGTCCAACATTCTCTCCCTATTTCCAAGCAAAGGTTCAGAGAAAATGCAGAATGAGCAGAGACCAAGATTTTGGGGGGGGGAGTCATATGGGCAAAAATAAGCCCTCTTTATTAACATTTGCAAAGCACTTGCGGCTGCAATCCTTTCCACACTTTTATGAGAGAAAACCCCACTGAACCCAGTGGGGCTAACTTCTGATCAGGTATGCATCATATTGCACCAGGAAAGTCCTCAAAGCACCTAGCTGACATTCTTTCAGTAATCTTTATGACACCACTCTGGGGTAGATCAGCTTTCTTATTCCCATATTTCAGTTGGGAGAGCAGGTGCTTAATCAGCCCATACAAAAATCAGCTTGGGATCATATTTCTTTCCATTCTCTGAAAAGCTTCACCTGCTGATTTCTGCAGACTGAGCTGCCATTAAAGGTGAAGGAGCAAACTAAACTGTTTCTTTGGGTCAGTTGGCTACCCTAGATTGAGAGATAGCAAATTAAGTAAACTCACTGGAAAGGGTGAGGTCTGATCCAGAGACATCCTGGTTTGTATAGCTTGGCCTCTGGGAGTAGCTCCCTCTGCTGGGATAGCCATAATGCTAAGCACTTCCTGCGAAGGGGGCACCAGCTAAAGTGGAACTTCTAGGACCATTAGAGAAGCCGCTTTATTTCTAGTCATATCCATCATACTGGGCCGTAGCTCAGTGGTAGAGCTTCTGTTTTACATGCAGAAGTTCTCCGGTTCAATCCCTGGGGTCTCCAGGTGGAGCTGGGAGAGGCTCCCTGCCTGAATCCTGGAGAGCTCCTGCTGTCAGTGTTGACAATTCTGAGCTAGATAAACCAATGTTCTGACTCAGTATAAGGCAGTTTCCTATGTTCCAGTTAACAAAACAAACAAACACCTGCTGCTTCCAACATACTGATGCCATCTGTCTGGAAGATGAGCAATGTCTAGTCCCCATCTCACCAGATTTTCAATACTGAGGATAGTCTGCTCACCAGGGGGAACCAGGGCTTAGTGTGGGTGTGGGGCAGGGGGCATAGCCCTGGGCACAGGATGTTTAGGGGGCATCAGCTAGGTGCCCCCATGCAGGGAGCCCTGTCCCGTCCCACCCTGCTTGGCACCAGCGGTCTGTGGGCCCTGGAGCCCAGCCTGGCCTCGCCATGGCATCCTTGACCCCCTCACTGAATGGTCATCTGGCCAGGGGAGGATTTGTCTGCCAAGGGTTGCGTTGGCCAGCTAGGCTCCTCCCTACAGGGCTGAGCTGCTGTGTGGGCTCCATGAACCTTATGCACCCCATGCGCATGCGCTCCATGGCTTTGGCAGCATGGGCTGGCCTGGCATGGTGGGTTCTGTTGACTCTTTGCGGCATGCCCCCACGCCTGGGCATGCGTGCCCTGGGTGGCAAAAAAGGAAGCAATGCTGCTGGGGGAGTAGAAGACTCTTTGAGAATGCCGGGAGACACATTGGACAGGTTGGAGAGGTTGCATTTGTGTGTCCTTGTGTATAAACAGCTGCAGGTGACATGTCATTTGCAGTACTGTATATTGGTGGGTGGAGGGGCAAGAACATAACCAGGAGTAGATCTAATTCACTGCAATTGGCCATTTCAAAGTAAAACAGCACATATACCTTTTGAAAATTATAAAACACAGAGTACAGCAAATAGTGAAATCTCTGATGCTACCATCAGCATGTATTTTTATTGCCACATTTTTGTTAATATGCATATCTGAAACAAGCAAACACAATGGTACTTACGGAACCTGGATCACCTAAACTGTCCAATGACACGAACACGATAGAAGTGCAGAAGAAAAGAAAGAGCAGGGACAGCCAAAAGAGAGGAAGAAGAGAGAGGAATAGAAAAGGGGAGGTGAGCTCCAAGACAGGCCCAGAAATAAGGGGGGAGACTCAAGACCAAAGGGGCTCTAATAATTCAGACCAGATATCTCTGAATGCAGAGCTGGCAGAATATTACATATGGCATGAATATAATGTAAGAAGGAAGAACCCATGCCACAAACTTGTTTTTAATACATGGCAAATAACAGGAAATGGCACCCTCAACCCTGCCGCCAACCACTAAAGCAGGGGTAGCCATCAACATGCCTTCCAGATATTTTTAACTACAACTCGCACCCCCCTTGGCCAATTTCCACATTGGCTGGGACTGAAGGAAGGGCATCATTTTGTTAACCGAACACTGAAGAAAAATCTAGTAGCCCACTCTTTCCCCATATGCCTAGTAGGGATGGGCAATAACTGCTTCCCAACATCGTAATATACCGCCAGCTAAACATCGCAATATCACAATGTCGGAGAGGAGGCAGGAAGGAAGAAGGCAGTTGTTGGCCACCGTGTGAAGCTTCTGCCTTTTCCAAAGCACCTCCTCCTCCAGCCCCCCACCCGTGTGAAGGCAGCAGCAGATGAGGCAGGAGCACGAATGCCCGTTTGCATCTCTGCCTCAGCCGCTGCCTTGGCATGGGCAAGGGGGGGCGGCGAGCGGGCTGCCTCTCCCTCCCGAGATGAAGAAACGGCCTGCTCATGCCTCCCCCCCCCCACCTATGCCAAGGCAGCTGTAGTGGTTAAGGCAGCATCTGCCACTGCCTTGACATGGGCGGGGGGCGGGGACTGGGAGGCTGAGCTGGGCTTCTTTCAGCCTTCTTGCCGCCTGGCTGAGCAAGTACACACGAGCTGTTTGAGCTCCTCAGCTGGGGTGTGTGAGAAGCCTCCCCTTCCCCAGCTGAGCAGCCCCAATCCTTCTCCTGCTTGCACATGAGCAGGAGAGGGATCAGGGCTCCCTCAGCTGGAGAGTGGGAGCGCTTTAACGGAGCCCCCACCCCACCGCTGGCTCGTGCGAGCCGGTGGCAGGTAGGGGGCTCCGTAAAACTGCTTGGCTGAGGCGAGGGCAGCCTGGCACTCCTCAGCCAAGCTGCGCCTCCACCTCCTGAGTCCCTGTGCCCCCAGCGCCTGCTGCAGCTTGCTTCTCCCTTGGCCGCTGGGCACTGGTAGCAGAGGGACCCAGGAGGAGGCAGTTTCCCCCGCGATATAATGCTGAGTGAAGTCATCATCACGGCCTGCCCCTCATACCGGGCCTGGGTGATATAGTAGGCATTGGCCTAGCAAAGGAAAATTGGTGGATCCATGTATCGTTGGCCCATTGTTATTGCTTCCTGCTTCCCACTGCTTTTCCTAATCTGGTCTCCACCTTCTCCTGTCCACCCAGACTCCTGCTGTTCTGTTTTCCTCCCTTGGCAACAACACCAATTCATCATCCCTAGTGACGATATCATGTAACACCTTGCAGGCTCTGCTACTGCCATCTCTCTCCCTCTCCTCCCAAAATCCCTTAGTCCCACCAAGCACTTGAGAGGAAGGGAATTCTCTGCCTGCGGACACACCATGCATTTAAAGCACACAGCTTCCTCCAAAGAATCATGGGAACTGTAGTTTACTCCTCAAAGGCTAAAATTCCCAGCACACTTTTTAAAAAATCTTCATTGAATTGTTTTGCAACATATACAAACAACTAAAATACAAAACAACCAGGAGTAAACATAGTACATTAACAAAAACAGAACATACACACAAACTCTAGCATTACAATGAAAGCAAAAATGGTTGGAAATCATTTTACGGGCTCACAATAAAAGTTAATTGCACATTATAAACCTCATTGTGTTTTTGTTTCAGCATCTATCAGTTTCAAGTCAGCAACCTATAATGCTTGGGAATAATATCCAATTCCTAGCACCCATAACAAACTACAGTTCCCAGGAGTATTTCAGTGGGGTACATGCTTTAAATGTGCTTTAAAAGTCTGGTGTGTGTGCACAGCCCCAGCCTTGTTCTTAGTTTTTTTCTTGAATTGTCTAGAGGATGCAGCTGACCTGCAGCTTGGCTACCCTTGCCTAAAGACAGATTGTAAAAGGTGATGTGTAGATGAAACCCAGACGATTCAGAACAGCAGCCATGCTGAAGGAGATGAACATATGAGTTAGGCTTGGCACCTCTTCTCAAGGGTCCCATTTACTCTGGATCCCAACCCCCGGGGAAGTGGGTTGTCCTGAGGCTCTTGGGTAGGACCCCTGACATGCTGGCTTGTACTCTGATTCCTGTTATTGTCCTGGAGCTTTCAGAGGGCTGGCCAAAGAAACAGCACGGTGCCAGGTTGAGCCCCAATGATGAATGGGTGGAATTACTCTGATAATAGCCCTTTAAATGAAGGTGCCACTTGGAGATGATGTATTTCTGTGCACAGATGATGGATGCGGGTACATTCTACTCCTCATTGCCAGAGGCCGTGTGCGCTAGGAAACAAGTTAGCAGTGGGCCAGGGAGAGGGGAAACAGCAATGAGGGGGAGCTGGATGGGATTCAAGACCCTGGGATTCCCTTGGGATTCCCTGCTTGGACTTACCTTTTGCACAGATGATGTCATTATATGACAGTATAGACATACAAAACAGGTACTACAGCGTATGTTGAACAGAGCATTATTATCAGCAGCATCTGTTGGCACAATGCCATCCAAGCGGCACATGTGATGATGGGCTTCACTGTGCCCAATTCATTACACCACCAGTACCTCTGGTGCTCATTGCCACGGTCTTCACACAGTCTTCGCAGTGCAGAGCCAGGTTAGGGCAATGAAGAATAATCAGGTGAAAACACGCAAGCAGCTACATAACTATACTCAGAAGTAGACACCAATTCAACAAGCACAAGGGTGCAGGCTCTGGGGTTTAATATAGGAGAGAGTGGGAAGTGGTAGGCTGCTCTTGATCACCTGACTTTGCAGCTAGGAGGGCTTGCCTAGAGTTTTATGTCGTAAGGCTAGAAAGAACGCAGTCCCCCACTCTGACCACTTGCAGTGATTATGGTGCTGGTGACTGATGAGGATCTTTCCATTGACAGTGCTTTTTGAGTCTCTCTCCCTATTGAAGGGTGGCCTTCCACTTGTGTTTCAACCATTTTGGTGCTCCACCCATATCTATAGCTATAGCTATCTAATCTATAGTTTTATAGGCAATGGGAAATTGAGAAAACCCTTGTCAGTTTCACTTGTACAGACTCCCTTCTCTGGTTTGCATTCTCTGTCATCTGGTGAAACTGACATACCTTGTCGTGGTTGCTAATAGGAATTGGTTTCTCATTTGCTCATTTTCCCAGTATTAAATTGCAGTTTGCATTTCTGCAGCAATGTGTGGTTGCTTCTCTCTCTCTCTCTCTCTCTCTCTCTCTCTCTCTCGTTAAAATTTGTGAGCTTTCTAGTGTAAATTTCTCTTGATAAACATATTTCTGTATGTAGTTTTGACTAATAGACATGTTTTTGCAAACAATATTCCCATATATGATGCATTTTTATATGTTGCTTTCACTAATATTCCTGTACACATTTTCTGTTTTCAGAACTCCATTGCAAAATTCAGAAACTTCAGAAAATTCTCCTATAAATTGTTTTACGGTAAGAAAGAGACAAAAGCCCTCTTCCTCCTCCCTCATAAGAGATTGTAGAGGAAAGTGAATTTCTCCATAAAAAGCCCCTGGACGTATTTGTCCGCAGTTTGACAGGCTTAATCAACTCTGGCAGGGTCCTGCGCCGGTAAATTTCATTCATTTTGGCCCCAACTGGAAATTGTTATAGATTTTTCAGATTTCCCACTACAGTGAATAGGGAAACAGAGTTTTGGCTGGGAACCTGAAGCACAGGTTGAAGTAGAGAGAACACAGAATGACTCAGAAACAGATTGGAATTA